AAGACTAGAAGTCTAAAACAGGCTAAAGATATTTGATTGCATTATTATGCTCACATTACTTAGGATAAATTAAAACCAATAGTTCAAAAATATATCTTCAACGGACAGCCTAAAATGTGAAGGAGAACAGTTTTTGTTTAGAGCCATATCATCCCAAATTTCTGATTAACAAGAATTTTGTTTTGAATGATGAATAGAAATTTTTCTCCTAGAAAACTTTGGTTTGAAGTTAAAAAAGCAAATGATACAACTCAAAAAATGCAACCTTCGGTAGAGCAGTAAAAAAAAAAACTACAATTTCTGAAAACAATGATCAAGAGTCAACTAAGGCAAACCTAGGAAAGCCTAAACAAAAGAATGCAAAAGGAATACTTTGTATACCAAGGGATGGACCTAGGCTTTTGATTCAAGAACCATAAAGATATGAGCAAGCAGATACCATTATAATGCATTTGTGACATGTTTCTATCAAAAAATAAACCAAGTTCCTATAAAGAAGTAATGCAAAATTATTTCAAATGGGTCCTGCAAAGGAAAAGACTAACCAGGTAAAATTATGTCAAAGTCAAGAAGCTCCATCAAATCAATTCCGATCAGAATTGCTGCTAATTGGGTGGCCTGGGTTAATCTAGTGTACAGAACCCAATCAAAAAATGAGACATAGTCAGCAGGCATTAAGCTGGTAGGATAATCATTAAACTAATCTATATGGTTCCCGCTATCATTAGATGGGTTACTCTAGTTGACTTAGTCAATAAGCGAGGCCTGTATTAACTAATCAAGAGTAGACAGTGCAGCTGATAGTCATAGTAGCTTCACAAATCCCTCTTTCAAGTGACCCATGAAATTGAGATTGATGGCCCCCCTTGTCAATGGATCCTGTAAACCAAAGCAAGAACTTCCTAAAATTTAAGTCAAGTTGAACAAGTTAACAACACCAAGGCTATTATGGCTTAAAAATAGTGATGTAACTCGAATTGTATTCACAAAATGACTAGTACAGTCAGTTTTGTTGAAAAGATGATCGCATAAAACACTTTCCAATTCACTATAAAAGGATTGTATAGCCAATGAAGAGTCCTATAAGTTTACCTGAATCTAAGGTTCAAAAAGAGGTGACCCAACTGCCAAACCACATAAAGGTCAACATATTAGAAAACTTTCAAAACTAAGGCTTGTCAATGATTAAGCACAAAATTCAATAATTAGTTAGAACATGTTATTTTTTTTTAAACGAAAGCACAAAAATACTTATCTTGAGGGCTAGCAATGTATGACAACCAAAATAAAAAAATAAATAAATGAGTTCCCACAACTAGAACAGCCCATGCTTCATTGTTAAAGCTTGTTACACATTAGCTGTTGAGGACCCTAGAGTACCAAAGATGGCTGCACAAATGTGGAGTAGAAGTCATTCAATCATACGGTAGCCAATCCTACATCTACAAACCCAGCTATTTTCTAGGGTGTATTATCATTTGCTGTGTAAGTATCACATAGAATGTCCAATTGTTAATCATGCTGACCATGTTTAGACAAACAAATTTCATCAAAAATATATTTCCCCAACCCAACTAATGGCGAGAAAAGCAAGGTGGTCTATGCCATCAGGCTATTAAAGATTAGAAATTTCAATATTGAACATCGATTGATAATCTTCTCTTGCAGGAAAACCAAACTATTTTCTTTGATGTATTATCTTTGCGAAGTAAGTTCCACATTGGAAGTCCATTTCATAATTCCGTGAAGGGTCCATCTGATAATTCCGGAGGCCGTATTTAGACCAACATATTTTCATTAGAATTATATTTCCCTAACCCAAATAATGACAAGGAAAGCATGGTGATATATGCCACGAGGCAGGTAGCTATTAGAAATTCCAATAGACAGCCCATTGTTACTTCCCAATTAAGGGTCCATCTGAATATTCCGGAGGCCGTATTTAGACTAACATATTTTCATTAGAATTATATTTCCCTAACCCAAATAATGACAAGGAAAGCATGGTGATATGTGCCACGAGGCAGGTAGCTATTAGCAATTCCAATTTGGTGTTACCTAAAATGATCATTAGCTTAATTTAATCAAATTAATTTTATTAAATGTAACTAGAGAGTTCAATGCTACATGCTCCTCTTCTAACAGTAAAAAAAATCAGGTGCACTTTAAGAAAACTAAAGTTATGCAAGCTTGCAAGTGGTTTCTGACGAGAAGGCAACAGTGATCAAGAATGCTTAAGAGGTCACAAGCTTGATTTTTCTTCGGAGTAAAAGATGCCTAAAGGCGAACTCAAAAAAATTTTGAATGGATGAAATCTAGCCCCGCCAATAGAATGGTTCTACTGCATCGCGCTAGAGAAAGAAGTGGGAGAGGGTGATCCTTCAACCCAAAATTGATCCTGCACGAAGGAAAAAAAGCAAGCGAGTGGGAAAGAGCAACGACCAATTACTTTAATATTCAGTAATGGCTAATACAAAGAAAGGCTGTAAAGATTACTCAGCCTAGGAGTTGACTTTCAAAACTGGAAAAATTCAAAGTATTTTCAGCTATAAAACCAATGTGATCGATCGAAATTTGATCAAAATGTAACATTGAAATTTAGCAGGAAATTTTAATATTTCAAGAGATCTTAAGAAAATTTACTCCATGATTATTTTTAAATCTATTAGATTTATTTTGTGATTAATAATGCATTCTACGAGCTCATAATGCACTAATTTAACAGCAAAACTAATAGGTTTAAAACCTATCTTGATACAAATTGTATCAGGATATCTTGAAACAAATTTTATTCATGCAGTGACATGACACAAGTTGAAGAAATAAATTTATTTGTGCTCCTTAGGAAAACAACCAAAAAAATGCTAAATTGGCTAGAAAAAGTAGAAGTCATCAAAATATACAAAAGTTGATCTAGTAAAGATGGCACACCTAGTCAAGCCAAGACAGATCACATTGATAGCCCTACGGGAAGCGGATGGGGGAGGGGATGAAAGCTAAGAGAAAGAACCATAAAATAACTAGCACGATCAAAGTTGACGTCAAGTAGCTGTACCTAAGAGAAGTTTTCAGTTGTGTTGAAACCAACAACCAAAAGATCTGGCACTAAGAAAATTCTTCTCAGATAACAGTGGAAACAATAGCATTAGCTGAATTGTTATAATTCATGAGGCACCAACCCTAGTTGGAGATGACTGGTGAGTTAATGGTTGAAAACATCTCTCGTGCAAATAAGAACTCCCAAATGGAACATTATCAGAGCCAAGAAGTAAACCATCAAAAGTAGGTTCGGGTAGAGACGACGACAACACGGAAAAGAGTTTCTTCCTAGGGTTCTACTGTTAACAGTTTTCTAACAAACATATGCTTGTGATTATACGCAAAAAATTAGTCATCACAAGAAACCAGCTGCTAAACCAAAAAGAACACGTCCTTGACTAGCTACAATAGTAGAAATAAGACAAAAAGAGGCGATATACATAGGAAAGTGAACATCCACTGTAACGAGGAACTCCATTTGGTGTTCGAACAAAACAAAAAGGCAAATATCATAGCCTTGAGGTTGAAGGTTGTCGAGGTGCTGGGCAACAACCTACTAATTAAATAGTGCATGTTGAGTCAATGTTGCAATCAATGAATCATGAAAAGTTAGACTGAATGGGTCCGAATGAATAATGAGCAAACAAAGACTACATCATTATCGCAAATAACATAAGGCATTTGATATCAAAAGCATTGCATGAATCTTAACTTTGTTTCCAGATGTCCAACTCATTAATATAATTCTAGCAATCAAGAAAAACAGAATATAAATTTGATGTTGATAATGCTGCTTGCGACTTAAAGAACATCAGACAAGTTCTAGAAAGTAGGAGGCAGTGTTCACACAAGTTAAAATTCCTAAAAATACCAACCAAATGGAAGTGCCTAAAAGCAAGGTATAAAAAGTTAAATTATACTAACAAATGACTTGAATCAGCTCAAATTTTGAATTGCAATTAATCAATTTTGGCTTGACTCAAACTTGCTAAAGTCAACATCGAAATAAAAAATTTCCAGTTCAGGTTGGCTCACCCAAATTGATTAGATATCACCACTATAAAAAAGAAAATATTGCTTGCTATTTCAGCGAAAGTTTACACCCTTCACATAACCTACAATCCAAAAAAGAAAACAAAAACACAAACAAAATGGAAATAATGATGGGTGAAGATGGGTGCCCTCTGAGGATGTAAAACAAATTCATACGAGCAAATAACAAGCATTCAAGGCTGACTATAAACGTATTTTTTGATCATCAAGAAAAGTTAAATGGCCTTCAGTGCATAATAAGTAATCCAAACATAAATCATACAATTATTTAAAAACAGTTGCTTAATCGTCACATTGAAAAAAGGTTGATTAATTGACAGGAAAATTTAAAAAAAAAAATAGTGCTATCAATAAAAAGCAAGCAATATAAGACATAAGTCAAGCTTGTAGCAATTTCGATGTACCATTACAGAAGTACTCATGCTATCTTCATCGGTGAAAATTTCCAAATAACGCATTTACACATATTGAAATCATCCGTAGTAGTCTGAAGTGATGACCAGCAAGACAATGAACGCATCAAATAGAAAGGAGAGAACAAAATGTGTCAGTGAGACAAAAAAATCATCTTGTTATAAAAAAAATTTATTTTAACTCGAACATTGCTTCCATAAAACAAAGCAGCAAACAATCCACGCTTTGCAAACCCCAGGCTACTGAATCTAGAAACATTGTGCAAACAACATGGAAAATGCTATTGATGCAAAAAAAAAAAAAAAAAAAAAAATTCAGCCGAAACATAAAAAAAAAAAAAATACAGCCGAAACATAAAGCCAAAAGACGAAGCTTGATTAAAATAAAAGGATGGATTAAGAAAAAGTGTGCAGTTTTTTAAGAAAAAAAATTATTGCGCCAAACACTGTTGATTCATTCTGCTAAACATGAACCTAAAAAAAAAAAATACTAACCTGGTTATTAAGTGGGGCTCCCCCATAAGCAACCACCACCTTAACGCCAGTTTGATAAGCAAACTTCCTAGCTTCCTCATGTATCTGAGAAAAAAATATATATGAAGCAACAAGAATAAAAAAAATCGTAAACCAAAAATTTGTAACACAAACATTAACTCAAATCAACATACCTGAACAGAAAGTTCACGGGTTGGCGATAAAATCAGAGCAAGTGGGAACACAATTCGAGCCCCTCTAGGTTTCTGTGCGGGTGGGCTCCTCATTATCCCACTTATAATGGGAAAGCAAAATGCTGCGGTCTTTCCAGATCCTGTCTGTGCACAAGCCATCAGATCTCTTCCTGCTAGAGAGATTGGAATTGCATATCGCTGCACTGGTGTCGGCTTCACATATTTGCATCGCCGAATGTTCTCATTTAAAGCTGATCCAAGATCAATCTCGGAAAAGGTATTGGCGGCAGGCGGCACATTATCACCACTGGTCTCAACCGGAATGTCTTCGTAAGCATCAAAATTGATCCCAGTGTTCTGCTGGTCGTTGAAAGCCGCTTCTGTTTTGTCATCCTCATTGCCAAAGGGATTGACTTCCCGATCCCTACCTCGATCCCAACCACCGGTCCGGGAGTTCCACCCACCACCACCACCACCACCACCACCTAACGGACGCCCGCCAACATAGCTGGAGCGGCCGACATCATGGCCACCCCCACCGCTTCCCCAGCGATTACCACTAGAAGGTACGGGGTACCCTGAAGGCCTCAAAGCAGTAGAGCCACCATCGGGCTGAGTAGAAGCGTGAGGATCTGAAGCAGGAGGACGGTTACGGAGATGAGGAGGGACGTAAGAACTTCGTTCAGAGCGAGAAGCCGCCGCAGCACCAGCGCCGGAGGAGGTGGTGGTGTTGCTTCCAGATACCGCGCCCGCCGAGCTCTCGGCGTTCGCGACGGAATCAGCCCATGATGATCGCATAATTGGAAGAAAATACGCGGACTTCAAACCTACTCCCTAACACAACACAAGGAACCACAAACAGATCGAGGAAACAATTCCAGTATGAAGTCTAATGTATCACTTTTCTGCGAAAAAAAAACCAAATCAAACATCAAACACCTCAAACGACAACTATCTACCATGCGAGATCTAAAGCTGATCCATGGAGAAGCGGGGTCTACCAGAAACAGAAGAAGAGAGAAGAACGGAACCGCACAGAAACCCTTCAATTGATTGAATGGAGAGAGGGAGAGATGGTAGAGCGAAAAAGAAGAAACCCTAGAAAGAAAAAGCTCTTGCCATCGAAAATATCTTCCGACTCGAAACGTAGTACCTCGTCCCAAAATTCGATTTTGCATGAATGAAATATTTGAGGAGCGTTTAACACCGTTGGATTGAGAAGGAGGCCGCTATTGGCTGTTGGATTGGCCGATTCGTTTCCCGAGGCAGCAGGCAGGTTCGCTCAAAGAAAATTTTGTCAAGCGATGGAGGGACAGACTTTTGGACCAGATAATAAGACTTGTGGTAGCTGCAGCAGCACGACTGTGGTGTTAATTATTGCAAGTGCTTAGATGAATATGCGTTTTAAATTTATAAATTTAAGTTTTTTAAATTCATTAAAAGCAAAATGATTTTTTTTAAAATAAGGCTTTAATATTCTGTTTTTAGTATATTCTTAAACTTTCATTTTTTTTACGCAATCATTATAGTCGGATATATAAATAATATAATGACATAAATATGTTTATTTATTTATTATTTATATTCAATATTCTTTTATGTTTATTTGTTTATTTTTTAGCAATCAGTTTATTTTATTTTATTTAAATATATATATAATTTAATAATAGTAATAGTAAATAGTATATTCAGCACAAATTATTAAATTATGATAAAAAATTGAATGTATTTTTAAATAGATCGTAACATCTAAAAGAAAATAATTAAATAATAGAAAGATAATTCAAATTCAATGGGCAAAGGGATTTTGAATTTATTTTATAATCAATCAAATCTCAAGAAATTATGAAACTCAACTAATTTTAATTAACATGCTTATAGTATGCATCCCACCCGCTCAATTATGTGACTAGGAATTAAAACTCATAAGTAAACATTTTTTATTTTTGGGCAATTAAAATTTGATAATTTAATTAATTAGTTATTTCTCTTGAAAATAATCATTAAAACACATGTATTGCATGTTTCCTAAATATTGAATTTTTTTATGACGTGGCTTCTCTTAATGTTTATGGGTTATGTTCAAATTCTACTTGCATTGAGTAGAAGAAGATAAATAAATAGAGAAAATTAGCATCTCATGGGAAAAAAGGGATTTGTTTTCATTTTCATTTCATTTCTTTTTTTATATTTTACTTGTATTTATAAGTCATTGGATGTTATTTTATCATGGTATAAAAAAATATATAATTATACGTTATATTAAATCTATCAATTATTTTTATCTCATGCTCTGTGAATTTATGTCGTGTTCAGCTGTTTTATGTCATGTCATTCGATTTTATATTATGTTGTACATTTTTCTATTATATTTTTTCATGGAATAGAACTCGTTTGCTCATCAACTCATTAGCTCGACAACATGATGGCTCGTACTCGTCAACTTGTCAGCACGACAACTTGTAGTTTGATAAATCGGTAAGTTTTTTAAGGTGTATTTATTGATTTCTTGTTTATCTTAACTCCTTAAGAGTCAAGTGCGGAAAAAATAAAAGAATGGAAAAAAAAGAATTTATACATTGTTTATTTTCATTTTTCTAAAAAATGAATTTGTTGATACGAATTAAAACTATTTTGATAAAAATGAGTGATGTATTCATATTTCTGAGAGTTCTTAACATTTATGCATGGAATCATCTTGAGGGCACCTTAGCTGTACTTATAGGATTTCGTCCTGATGGCATTATTGCTTGCTTTCAACTATATTATAGTTGACTTGATGATCTTATAGGGAGAGTTCCTCAAGTATTAACATTAAAAAAATAATCTTGTTATTATTTATGTTTAGTGCTTCATTATAATATAACTAAGTTATAAAGAAATAAAAGTGGTTTTGTTAAATTTGGATTTTCATTTTCTTGAGGGTTTGAAAGTTATGTTTATAAGAAGTAGTCGCTATAATTTTTAAACATTACATGGGGTGAGATCATCTACTATTCAATCATCAGGTTAACTAATTTAATAATTTATTCAATTGTCATATTTCAAAAAAAGTTCTTTGAATGTCATTCTAATTTTTAGCTATTGAGGTGAGAATGGGTCTAAAAATTTCAAAAATTTTTTATTTTTCTCTTAAAAAACTTGTTTTTGAGAGGCAAGTTCTTTGGTTTAAAAAATGAATGCACTAATTAAAATTTTAATGCAACAAATTATAAATAATAGAGTTTAAAAGATGTACAAATAGAATATTTAAAGATAAGATATCATGTCTCTTCTGATGAAGATATTTCTGTCATTACCATTGGTGTCCCTCTAGAGATGTTCATGCATAATTTCATATTTAAGCAAAATATTTATGTTAGCCACACCTTTCAAGATATTGAACTCTTTTGGGGCTTAGAGTCCCATAATATATGTGATTTATGCCCAAATCATGTCTGCATTGAGCAAAAGAGAGAGAAATAAAGAGAGGGAGAGTAACATTATGAGAAGAGAGCCAATTTTTTCTTTTTTTACATTTTACCCCTACTTGTAAGCCTTGATGCGTCGTTTTAACATGATATAAAATTTGTATAAATATATAATCTGAAGTCATATCCAATAAATTTATAAAATGTCATGCAGTTTTATGTCGCGTTCTTCAGCTTTATGTCATGTCATTTAGTATCAGGTCATTTCCTTTTATGTAATTTAGCTCGTCATCTCGGCAATTCGTCGGTTTGGTAGCTTGATAGCCTGACAACCCAATGACTCGGCTGCTCTACAAACCATAGTTATCAGTTTGGCAACGCGACAACTTGAGAGCTTGATGAGTCTTTTCATGTACATATAAAAAACATATTTATATTCATTGTTGTGCAACATTATATTTATCGTTAATCAAATTTATTTTGAGAAATTATGCTTAATATTCAACATTATCAACAACATCAGTTACATATTAATCATAGTTAATTTTGGATAAATTAATTTTTTCCAATATATTAAATTACTTTTTACCCACAATCCATCAAAATTGAGTACTTCTTTAAAAATGTAATCTTGATTAACTCATTTAAAAATCATATATTTGGCTTTTTATTCATATTTGGTTAGAGTAAAATGTCTTAATAAGTAAAATGCCAAAATAGTCCAAAACTATTTACATGGGTCATTTTAATATGAGAGTTTATAGAAGTGTTAAAAAAGTCATTGATTATTTTAAAATTGAGCTGCAATAGCTCTCTGTTGGGACTATTTCAGACCCAATTTAAACATTATGAGATTATTTGGACACTTTTATAAACATTAAAAGTAAAAATAGCCCCATGTAAAAGTTCAAGACTATATTGGCACTTTACTCGTGTCATAATAGTCGATTGACTATTTACATGACATTATTTTAGTTCCCAAGTCAATAAAAAATATCACATCAACCCGCTTAATTTTTAATTAAGTTAAAATAGCCCTTCGTCGAAATCATTTTTTACCATATTAAAAATCTTTGAACTAGATTGACACTTTTTATAAACTCTATGTGTACATTAGGAATGCATAAGCACAAATCCCAACGAGATCCCGTGACCCAGAAGAAAGGAAGTACAATGATGGAGGGCAAATAGACAAAAGACTAAAGAACCCACTTACTTGACCAAATGGACTGAGGCTAATCGAGTCGAGCAGAGGCCTTAGGCTGCCTATTATGATCCTTCTAAGATTTCTCGTCATGGACCAAGAATTGGTAATAACATGACCCACAAACATCTCAAATGACCTCCTCATCAAGAATGAGATATCTATCAGGTTGCGGTGATTCATCATCTACTAGATAACCTAGTCTCGTTCTGACGACAAAAGCATCTCATATAGGAATTAAGATTGATATTTAATCTAGCTCGGCCAATTGACAACATTTGCAAAACAAAGCAATCTTGCTGACCCAAAGTCAGATAAGATCAACTAACCGACTACGACATCTTAACATAATTGACTGAGGAAGGCTTACCAACCTCAGCTGATCAGACCAGAAGTTAGCCTAGCCATACGCTCACATACATAAAATGCTAAAAATACATTATGATGCCCCAATTAAAATAGTGGCAAATATGTAACTTTACATATTGTATCCCCTCCTATATAAATAAGGGGATCATTTTATGAGAAAAGCTAATCGAGAAGATTGATTAATGTTCATTATTGTGCACTTCTCTCTCTCTCTCTCTTTGTGTCCTCTCTCTTGTCTTGCACTATAACCCTTGAGGTGTATTCATTAACATATCAGGATTAAATATCCTAAAAGGATCGGTGAGTGTGAATCATTCAACTGATAAAAATAAGAGTAATGCAGAAAGAAGAAAATCACAATAGAGATATTGATAACATGATGTGTACTCGAGAATTAGTAAACCGACAGATACCCATCAAGAGGAAGGATCGGTGCTCAATGGTTGATGAGTGGCCTCAGTTATGGAAAAGGAATGTGATTTCAGTAGAGAGTAGTTCGAGCACACTGAGGCATCCCGTTAGTCGTAGAATGTGTTTTTTTTATAGATATCTAACACGGAGCCCTCATAGATGTTCAAAATCCCTACACTAGAATCTTAATCGATCCAATTGACCATGCCATCTTTTTCAAGTCAACCCGATGCACTAAATCATCATCTTTTATTCACCACCTGAGAAATATGTTACTCTCAGGAGGCTTCATCAGCCTCTTGTTTAGCTTCTTGCATATCCGACTATGCTCACAATACCTCTATCACATGACCGAACCTTTCCGACAAAAAAATACTCGATTAACAACTATAACCTCGATGTAATGGTGGGTTGAGAGCTAATTTCCTTCAATGTTTATTGCTTTGTCTCAGGTCCAAGTTCTTACAATCTACTTCTTCTTATACGCTCCTTTTGTTGGAATCGTCTGACTTCCCCAACTGTTATAAGAAGAGCTAAGAAAGAGGACAATTCCCAACATTTTATCTTATTTTCTAGGCCCAACAACTCGAATCGGGCGAACACCAAACTGTGCATAGCCCTTTAAGCCGACTCAAAAAGAGAACATGCAAGTAAAAAAAATTATCGGCCAAACCCCTACCCGACTGAAATAAATAACATAAGACATAATGACTGATATACCTTTCAACAAAATCTGAGTGGGGATGACTCAATAAT